GAACTCCATATCGATAGCAAGCTAATGCATGCCTGGCGACCCTCCTTTCCTTTGGCATGAAGTCGTGATGACACCTTTTTTATATTGCAGTAAGCAGCTAGGTAGACTGTGCCGTGGAAACCTACAGTGCAATTGAGCATATCAGATTCAGAAACTGGGGTTTGTAATCATAATTTTATTGCCCTCATTGACTAAATGAAGTATCCATCAACTATTACTATGCTAATGACAGCACAGCGTGTATTTTCAATGGTTTGTGTGGACAGGACGGTGGCAATAGTTTGTAATTGGGCAGTGAATTACTTTCGACACAAGGATTCAGTCTAGATGTTGAGGCAATGTAGCGGTCTAATGTGATGCTCGTTAGCCATTACATGTTAGGGACTGTTTGGCGTAGCACAGATAATTTGATGGCCTTAAAGACGTCCTCCAGCGCTTTTTGAACATTTTCTGTTGAAAAGCGATATCCCAAGGATAAATACAGTAAAGTACACACACACGAATGTGTAAAAATTGGTTTTGAGCAAACGTTTTTTTAAGGCACAACTGCAAACTTCAAGGAGTAGGGCATTCATGAATTTGGTTTCAAGGGAAGTCGTGATGTCATCGGCCTCCCCCTTGCTTGATGAACAACAGAGGAGCAATAGAGAACAAAAGAGGAACAACAACCCCCCTCCTTGTGACATGTCATGACTTACCTGGACAACCTATTGAGGTGTGCATTTTGTTAACCTCTTAAGGATCTGATCCCTTTTTCAATTTTCGCCTATAATGACATACTGAAATCTAACTGCCTGTAGCTCAGGACCTGAAGCAAGGATATGCATATTCTTGATACCATTTGAAAGGAAACACTATGAAGTTTGTGGAAATGTGAAATGAATGTAGAAGAATATAACAAATTAGATCTGGTAAAAGATAATTCAAACAAAAAAACATGCGTTTTCTATTTATTTTTGTTCCATCATGTTTGAAATGCAAGAGAGAGGCCGCAATATAATATTGCAGTTTAGGCGTAATATAGATTCTGGCCCCTAGGTGACATCAGTGTGTGTGCAAAGTTTCAGATTGATCCAGTGAAGCGTTGCAATACTGGACTATTTTGTGTCAAGTCTGCCCAAATGTGCCGAATTGGACAATTGATACATTTTCAAGTACATAACTATAGAGAACTTACATTTTGTATTACCATTTTTTTGTAAGTTTCCACACTCCCAGGAATGTCATACATGATGGATCATTAGCTTATACACTTTCACTCATCTAGGTGGCCGGGTAGGGTGGGTGTAAAGCCAGAGACAGCAGGGGTTCAAACTGTAGAACCCAGTTCCTACATTTGAATATAAAAATGGATTTTTATCCAACATAACTATGCTACATTTTATCTCTGGTACCCTTAGGATGACAAATCAGAGCAAGATTACTTAATGTAAGTACATTATTTACCTTCAGAGGTGAATGTATCAAACCAGTTACCGTGACAAGTTTGTTGTTGTGCACTCTCCTCGAACAATAGCATGTTATTTTTTCATAGTAATAGCTACTGTAAATTGGACAGTGCAGTTAGATTAACAAGAATTTCAGCTTTCTGCCCATATAAGACATGTCTATGTCCTGGAATGTTTGCTGTAACTTATAAGTCATGCTAATCACATTAGCACACGTTAGCTCAACCGTCCCGTATACGAGACACCGATCCTGTAGAGGTTAAGTAAATCAGGTGTTAAATTATGTGAAAAGGAGACTGGAGTGCCAAAGTGTACGCCGAAATATGTCTATTTTCAAATCTTCTCTCATTGATCGAGACATGTGAGTGCCATGACATGCAGCACTTTGGGGTGGACACCCACCTGTCTCGAGAATATATGAAATAGACAAGATGGTGGCGTACATGTTGTTTGATTCCTTCATGGATCAAAATTATTTCATTTTAATAACTGAGTGTTTTCTAAATTCAAACAAACCCCCCGCAACTAGACTCTGGAGCAGTGGAAACATGTTCTCTGGAGTGATGAACCACGCTTCACCATCTGGCAGTCCGACGGGCAAATTTGGGTTTGGCGGATGCCAGGAGATCGCTACCTGCCCCAATGCATAGTGCCAACTGTAAAGTTTGGTGGAAGAGGAATAATGGTCTGGGGCTGTTTTTCATGGTTCGGGCTAGGACCTTAGTTCCAGTGAAGGGAAATCGTAACGCTACAGCATACAATGACGTTCTAGACGATTCTGTGCTTCCAACTTTGTGGCAACAGTATAGGGAAGGCCCTTTCCTGTTTCAGCATGACAATGCCCATGTGCACAAAGCGAGGTCCATACAGAAATGGTTTGTCGAGATTGGTCTGGAAGAACTTGACTAGCCTGCACAGAGCCCTGACCTCAACCCTATCGAACACCTTTGGGATGAATTGGAACGGTGACTGCGAGCGAGGCCTAATCGCCCAACATCAGCGCCCGACATCACTAATGCTCTTGTGGCTGAATGGAAGCAAGTCCCCGCAGCAATGTTCTAACATCTAGTGGGAAGCCTTCCCAGAAGAGTGGAGGCTGTTACAGCAGTAAAGGGGGACCAACTCCATATTAATGCCCATGATTTTTGAATGAGATGTTCAACGACCAGGTGTCCACATACTTTTGGTCATGTAGGGTAGTTAGAGCAAATGTTCTGTCAGCAGTGATTAACTGATTTCTAGACGTTGTGATAGTTGGTCACATTCCTTAGATAGCTATATTTAGTTTGTAACTTTAGACAATACTGAGCACAGTACCCCCTTAGTATACAAGGCCATTGATGTGAAGAAAGTTGACTAAACTGCATCAAAATAGTACAATTGTCTAATGTGTACTAAACTTGATATATTCACTACCTAATTACAGACATGAAGGCCTGCATGCATGGGAAAACATTCAGTGTTGAAATATGAGTAGATTAACTGTATCCTCAAGTCAGTCTAGTGAAACATTTAGCCTATAGTTGATAGGGTTGTCAAAGTATTGTAACCCAGAATACATTTTATATGGTGGATTTATACAAGCTGTGTACAAATTGTCCCACTTATTTTGATCGGAATCGAAGCTATAGGCCTAGTCTTATGCCAAAGGGATTTTTGAATGACTGTTCAAGTGTCTGTCATAAACAGGTGGACACTGTTGCACAGCATGGAGCTCAAATGACATCCACAGCATTCTAAGAGTTCAACAACTTGCTTGTGCAGGGGCTTGAATTTGGTTGCTTGGAATGTATTGGATACTTATTTATGCAGAATGTCAAGGAAATCATCCCTCCTTGCCAAAGAGAGAATGCTTATTATCCATGCTTTCCTGGCTTTTAAAATATGAAAACAACACTTGTAGATCAAGTGCGCTCACCGCAAGATTATGCTTTTATTTTAAGAGGACCATAGTTTTTGTGTAGTGTGTTCATTACCAACTTAATGGTGAAGCATATGAGAGCGCATGCACCGAGATGCTGCTGTAAAGTGAGACCCATGTCTAGTAGCCTGGTTCTTCAGACCATCATGATGAGGGAATGAAAGTGACATGACACAGCCTAATTCTTGTGGATGAAGCTTTTCCAGGTTACGAGTTGGTTCAGAACAGTTTGAGAAGTGTTTCTATAGCACCCGTCTGCTTCATTTCAACCCTAAAATCATTAGGCAATCTGAAATGGATAATGATGTTTGGCAGTGAGCATTATCATTAAGACAAGTATTATTTACTCTGCTACATTATCCTTGTTACATGACATTTCTGAAGTTACTTTATGTTGCACTGAAATATCTACTGGCACGCCATAACATTACAGCACTCATGATGTTAGCCTTGCTAGTTTATGTAAGGCTATATTGTAAATGATGGATGGTTTTTCATTTCATCATGTTATTCTTTCAACATTCCTACTTTTGATTAACTATAACATGTTATTGTCATGCATAACTGCTGCTTATTATTATAGTATTGCTGAAAAATGCAAAATACTTTCTACATAATTCAAGTTCCACTTGGGCAGCTATTATATTAAATCAAATGCATCTTTCTAAAAGGAGATGCATGGCATTGTTGCACTGCATAGTCCTGGGTTTGTACATTGATTCCCTAGAGCCCAAGTCCACCGCATTTATTTCACCTCTACTCCACAAATGAGCTTAAGTGGCATCCATCTTGGGTGCCTTGGAACCTGCTGTGGTACCTGATCCTTTGTCCCCAGGGTGTTGTCTTTTTCTTTCTTTAGCCTATTTTGCATTAGAGAGACTGCCTGCATCTGGTGTTGCAGCATCCACAGACTGCAGATGAACATCAAACTCTAATATAGATTACAGGGTAGTTGACGTCATAGAATGGTAGCCAATATATGATATGAGCTATACAATTAGGCTATCCCCTGCCCCTGGCAATAAAAATATTTTGATTTTATGAGAACTGCCAGAGAAGAATTTGATGTACATGTTTTTTCTTTGTTCCAGCTCTGATACTTTGGTGCTCTTTGTCAAAGCCAAGTTAAACAGCCAGGCCCAGGTCCCTTGGGCCCACTGCACTTGTGGGAATTGTCTTGGAGACAGGCCTGCATTGTTCTCCAAGCTCATATTAGACAAGGTGGAGGAACTGTGTCGTCTTGTCTGTGGGTGCTGTAAACCACAAGCTGGTGGGAAACCACCATGAGCGATACTGGCCAAAGTAAAGGGGCTTGTACTAGCCTGGTACTGGACACACTGACTGCTCTGAGGAAACCTGATGACTGTAAAGGATATCTAGGGCTTTGGCTTTTTAGGCGTTTCCTCCACCCTGTCTTTAACGTTACTGGATAGTTGAGCAGAATTCAGAAGATTTATGGCAGTACCCGAGATGTAGATTCACTTTAGACCGACATTGCATTTGGTAAGATATGTAAAAAATCTGTCTCTCTGGCATTAGTCCTATCTGTGGTCTGACAGTGGAAGTGTTGCAGCAGACATGATGCACTGACTGAACAGGTGGTATGAGACTTCATAGCCCTTTGTTACAAAATGGAGCGCTTGTTAGAGCAAGGCCATGTCAGTAAGTAGGCTCCCACTGTCTGCTCTGAGGCTGTAGCCTTGGGAATTCTCTTAGCTAAACTGTCTCCTAGAGGCCCTTATGCTTGAGGGAGCTAGAGAAGAGGATTGGACTGTCTAGGATGTAGTCTACTAGTTGAAATCCTTGTTTACATGTGAAATGATAAAGAAGATCTTGCCTAGGCTATTATCGAAACTCATACACTACATGACCCAAAAGTATGTGGACAGCTGCTCGTCGACCGTCTCATTCTAAAATCATGGGCATTAATATGGAGTTGGTCCCTCCTTTGCTGCTTTAACAGCCTCCACTCTTCTAGGAAGGCTTTCCACTAGATGTTGGAACTTTGCTGGGGGGACTTGCTTCCATTCAACCACAAGCATTAGTGAGGTCGGGCACTGATGTTGGGTGACAAGGCATGGCTCGCAGTCGGAGTTCCAATTCATCCCAAAGGTGTTCGACAGGGTTGAGGTCAGGGTTCTGTGCAGGACAGTCAAGTTCTTCCATAACCAATCTCGACAAACCATTTCTGTATGGACCTCGCTTTGTACACTGGGGCATTGTCATGCTGAAACAGGAAAGGGCATTCCCCAAACTGTTGCCACAAAGTTGGAAGCACATAATCGTCTAGAATGTCATTGTATGCTGTAGCGTTAAAGATTTAAGGGGCCTAGCCTGACCCATGAAAAACAGTCCCAGACCATTATTCCTCCTCCACCAAACTCTACAGTTGGCACTATGCATTGGGGCAGGTAGCGTTCTCCTGGCATCCGCCAAACCCAAATTTGTCCGTCGGACTGCCAGATGGTGAAGTGTGATTCATCACTCCTGAGAAAGCGTTTCCACTGCTCTAGAGTCCAATGGCGACGAGCTTTACACCACTCCAGCCGAAGCTTAGCATTGCGCATGGTGATCTTAGGCTTGTGTTCGGCTGCTCGGTCATGGAAACCCATTTCATGAAGCTCACGACGAACAGTTATTGTGCTGACGTTGCTTCCAGAGGCAGTTTGGAACTGTAGACGATTTTTACGCGCTACGCGCTTCAGTGGTCCCATTCCGTGAGCTTGTGTTGCCTATCACTTTGCGGCGGAGCTGTTGTTGCACCTAGAAGTTTCCACTTCACAATAACAGCACTTACGGTTGACCGGGGCAGCTCTAGCAGGGCAGAAATTTGACGAACTGACTTGTTGGAAAGGTGGCATCCTATGTCGGTGCTACGTTGAAAGTCACTGAGCTCTTCAGTAAGGCCATTCTACCGCCACTGTTTGTCTATGGAGATTACATGGCTGTGTGCTCGATTTTATACATCTGTCCGCAATGGGTGTGGTTGAAATGACCGACTCCACTATTTTGAATGTAGGTATGTATACAGTACCAGTCAAAAGTTTGGACAAACCTACTCATTCAAGGGTTTTTCTTTATTTTTACTATGTTTACATTGTAGAATAATAGTGAAGACATCAACTATGAAATAACACATATGGAATCATGTAGTAACCAGAAGTGTTAAACAAATCAAAATTATATTTTAGATTCTTCAAAGTAGCCACCCTTTGCCTTGATGACAGCTTTGCACACTCTTGGCATTCTCTCAACCAGCTTCACCTGGAATGCTTTTCCAACAGTCTTGAAGGAGTTCCCACATATGCTGAGCACTTGTTGGCTGCTTTTCCTTCACTTTGCGGTCCAACTCATCCCAAACCATCTCAATTGGGTTGAGGTCGGGTGATTGTGGAGACCAGATCATCTGATGCAGCACTCCATCACACTTCTTCTTGATCAAATAGCCCTTACACAGCCTGGAGGAGTGTTGGTTCATTGACCTGTTGAAAAACAAATGATAGTCCCATTAAGCGCAAACCAGATGTAATGGTGTATTGCTGCAGAATGCAGTGGTAGCCATGCTGGTTAAGTGTGCCTTGAATTCTAAATCTCTTCTCTGTTCAGACATGAAGTAACCAGACATTTTGCCTATTAAACGTTTCAGACTTCAGGAAATTGCTTTCAGCTGTTATTCTATGCGTGACAAGGGAACAATTCTCTCATTAGTTTTGCTTCATCACACCCTTATTTTAGTTTTAGCTAAGTGGATAGCTCTGTGATAATGCCTTTTTAACAGATTATCTGCAGGCTTATATGGTCGGGGTATTCCTCAGGACTAATTCTCAGACTTCTAGTCAATCCCGACATTACCTTGCAGTTAATCCTAAGCCGTTACTAAGATAACATATGTAATTGTTTTAAGATGGTCATACCAAGGATCATTTGGCTATTTGATTTTGAATTTTAGGACCCCTTTTGGTAATTTGTTTTGTTGTTGAAACATTGAATTTAGCCTTACTGCTGTTAGCCCATAGAAACACATTAAATAATGGATTCATACATGGGGAGAAACAGTCAAAAAATAAATCTAAAGGAAGTTTGTTTTAAAGTGGTACTAAGTGTTTTAGCAACATGGAAGAATGACACCTTTTTTACATTTTCTGACAAGCGAGCACTTAGATATGGTTGTTTTCATACTCTGTCATTCCCAAACATTCTATAAATGTAAGGCATTTCTTAAAATTCTATAGCAATATAGTGGGAAAGCAGCCGTGCGTTTGGACAATTTTAATAGACACTGCAGTAAATAAAACCTAATAAAAACAAAGGTCTCGTCCAGGACTGGAGTCTACGCAAGACCTGTGCGCCATAGCCAATCGGTGCTATAGTAGGCTTTTATGCAAATAAGTAATTTGCCACAAGGGCCTGACATCATTCACTTTGAACTGGACTGTGTGTTTACAGGCAGTAGCAACAGTGTGGCTTTAGATCATTAGAACGCATTCGCCAAAAGCCACAATACACCTGAATGGATTTCTGCAAATATGTAAATACCACGGGAGTCCTCTTACATTTGAACTTTACAGTCCTTTTGATCAAACAACCATAAAAAGGTAGGCTCTCTCTCCCTCAGGTATGCACATCTAAGGCTGCTGCGATGACTGTATTACCGCCACACCGGCAGTACTGAGTCACGATAATCTCCACTTATGCACTCTAGACATGCGTTGGTAGTAGGCTTGGGTGGTATTCAGATTTTCATACCAACCTTGTGCCATACTGGGATATTCGGTAATACCCGTACTTAACACAAGGGGCGCTGTTTTCAAACCCCACTGATACTCTGTAATCCGAAGGTTAGCAATGCTAACAAGTACATGTAAAATCCCATAGACAATGCTAACTAAGTGCTATTGATCACATTGCAAACATTTGACCTAAACTATACAAGTAACTACTAAATGCTACTCACAGTTTGCTGCACACACAAAACAAATATTAGCCTGCAAGGCTATAGTTAAAATAATGTGAACGGTGAAATGAAGAACGCAATGTTTTTTATCTCCTAACGTAGTGCACAAGTTGACTGCAGTTATTTTCATCGTCGAACATACAAAAAAAGAAAAAACACCAGGAAATCAGTTCCAAGTGATTTTTAATTTGGGAAATCTGTTTCCAAGTATTTATTTATAATAGAGAGAGACACATGATCATATACACATGTAAGCAAGATTTGAAATTATGTTTTAGTAAAATATTATCTGTTTTGGGCTTCTTGCAGTCAATTTGCAGTCTACAAATTATTTGTCATCATGTTCCGGCCCACTGACCATCCGCTCAAGAAAAAATTGGCCCGCGGCTGAATCTAGTTGATTATCCATGGCATGGTGCATAGACAGATAACATACAGTAGGCCAACTCATATTCTGTTCTTCTGAAATACATTTGTTCATACAGTATCATGTTTCTTTAGACCTGCCTAAAATAAATAATGTAGATGTTCTAAAGGCAAAGCAGCAGCTTGTATGCCTGGCGACGCTAAACATGTTTATGTTCATTAACGGTCAATTGAGACGGGCAGTCTTTTGCATGACAATAACCAGCTGACACAATTTCATGACCGCCACAGCCCTATGCACATCAAGATGAACAACTAATGCTAGCCAGAGCGAGATGAGCTAAAATCTAATGAGGGAACATTATATAAACCCTCTAACTTTTTCAGCTAGTTGGACACTGATAAACGATGGGGAATAGTAACTTGCTCGTCCTTCTGCAGTTTGCCTGCCAATGTATACTCTGAAATCGGAGTAGATAGCCAGAGTGAATTTACGAACGCAAGTCGTTCATCTTCAGTATAGCTAGCTAGCAAAGCAATGTATTGCTAGCTAACCAAATGACACTGGACTTTGTGCAGACTGGAAACCATATCAGACTGGAAACATATCCCGAGGCTGCATTTATTGTAGCTGGGGACTTTAACAAAGCAATTTTGCAGAAAACGCTACCAAAGTTCTATCAAAACACTTGCGCTTGAAAAACTCTACCATTTGTTACTCTCCCTTCCGGGATGGCTACAAGGCCCTCCCCCACCCTCCCTTCGTCAAATCAGATCACGACTCCATTCTGCTCCTCCCTTCCTATAGGCAGAAACTCAAACAGGAAGTGCCCATGCTAAGGTCTATTCAACACTGGTCTGACCAATCGGATTGTTTTAAGATTTAACCACGGCAAGGTGACAGGGAATATTGAGTACAAACAGTCCAGTTATGCCCTTTTGTAGGCAATCAAACAGGCAAAACGTCAGTACAGAGACCAAGTGGAGTTGCAATTCAACAGCTCAGACACGAGACGTATGTGGCAGGGGCTCCAGACAGTCACAGATTACAAAGGGAAAACCAGCCACGCCGCAGACAGTCTTGCTCCCGGACAAGCTAAACACTTCCTTCACCCGCTTTGAGGATAACGCAGTGCCATCGACACGGCCCTCTCCTGAGGACTGTTGGCTCTCGTTTTCCGTGGCCGATGTCAATAAGACATTTTAAGCGGGCTAACCCACTCAAGGCTGTCGGCCCAGACTGCATCCCTAGCTGCGTCCTCCGAGCTTGCGCAGACCAGCTGAATGGAGTGTTTACGGACATTCAATCTCTCCCTATCCCAGTCTGTCCCCACTTGCTTCAAGATGTCCACCATTGTTCCTGTAACCAAGAAAGCAAAGGTAACTGAACTAAATGACTATCGCCCCATAGCACTCACGTCTGTCATCATGAAGGGCTTTGAGAGGCTAGTTAAGGATCATATCACCTCCACTTTACCTGACACTAGACCCACTTCAATTTGCATACCGCCACAATTGATTTATGTTGACATTCCCAGCCTTAATTACATTAATCCGTTTTTGTCCAGAATATTGAGTAATTGAAACTGAAATGGTGCATCCTGAATAGGGCTGGGCGGTATACCGTATTTTACTGTATTGATGCACAGACCGGTTTGAGTTTTTACTTTACCTTCTATAATGGTATTTCAATGTTTGATTTGTTAAGTAGACCCTTTTCCAGTACACGACACACTGACATCACACAGATTTTTCTTTTGCTGCCGTTCAATAACAACGCCCTCTTGTTCTTCCACTAACTTGCGTGCATCGCCCTCGTGCGGCAATGTTTGTAAACACAGAAAAGAGTCTGTGATACGCAACTCTGGCGCATATGTCAGTTTTTATAGTTTACTCCGTTTTCTATTTGACTCATCTCTCTCCCTCTCCTCCTGCTGCTGCATGCCACTAACCACACCAAGCCCTGCCCCCGGTCACTCAAGGAGAGAGCAGTTGGACCACTTTCTTGCCGTTCACTCTCCATGGTCCGATGGATGCAACAATGTTGGTGACATGCTGCTTTCTATAATTACACTTTGTTTGTGTATCTTACTGTTTGCTAGTTTGTCTTTTATTAGCAGTGTGTTTCTAAAATGAATTGTTAGCTGCTAATGCTAATCACTAGTTTGCTGGCTAGCTTGCTAAATGTACTAAGAGTCAGAGCAAACATAGCTAGTTAGCTAATACTGCCTGGTACCAGTGCTGATGTAGGCCTAGATAAGCATGTTTGTGCAATTGTATCTTATCAGAGAGTAATAGGTGCATGAATATGTTGGCTACATGAAGTAAGAAAACATGAAATGTAACATCTAATTAGGGTCACCTTGAAACACTGATCAACACTTTGGTTCCTACCCTGTCAATTCCTCACTGGCTTATTCATTCGTTGTCATGTCACAAAACAATGTATTAAAGGTGCTGCCCACTATTTCCAACTATAGAATTAGAATAATAATTTTTTCCATGATTCCAACAGTTCACCAATTAACTAGGCCTAGATTATTTTTTCCCATATCATGCTGCGTGGCACAGTGTGGAAATAATGATACAAGTGCAGGAAATATGGCCTCCCAAGTGGCGCAGCAGTCTAAGGCACTGCATCGCAGTGCTAGAGGCGTCACTACAGACCCTGGTTCGATCCCAGGCTGTGTCGCAGCCGGCCGTGACCGGGAGACCCATGAGGCGGCGCACAATTGGCCAAGCGTCGTCCGGGTTAGGGGAGGGTTTAGCCGGCCGGGATGTCCTTGTCCCATCGTGCTATAGCGACTCCTTGTGGCGGGCGCATGCACGCTGACTACGGTCGCCAGCTGTACAGTGTTTCCTCCGACACATTGGTGCGGCTGGCTTCCGGGTTAAGCGAGCAGTGTGTTAAGAAGCAGTGTGGCTTGGCAGGGTCGTGTTTCGGAGAACCTTCGCCTCTCCTGTGTCCGTATGGTGGTTATCCCACTGGCTATAGGGTGAACGCACCAATTGGTGAGTCGCTCTGGATAAGAGCGTCTGCTAAATGACGTAAATGTGCCCTTGAGCAAGGCACTTAACCCTAATTGCTCCTGTAAGTCGCTCTGGATAAGAGCGTCTGCTAAATGACTAAAATGTAATGTAAATGTATGGGAGTTGCAGCGATGGGACAAGACTGTAACTACCACTTGGATATCACGAAATTGGGGAGAAAAAGGGGTAAAAAATCTCATTTAGAAAGTGCAGAAATTTATGAAAATGCTGAAAATAATATTTGTTCTGCGTTTTCTGTGAACAGTATAAATGGAGAAAGCCCCTTTTTTAAAATTACTTAGAATTTGTGTTACCACCCTAGGGTCATGAACTACTCAAAGCATATTTAGAGTATTTATTATTCAAAAAATCTAATACTGTCAAAAGTGACATCGGTATATGATATTTTGTCCATATCGCCCTAATCCTGAATGGGTGGAGGCAGCAAACAATGTACCAGGCCAGCTGTGATTTACAACCTGACAGCAATACTTTTTGGACTACCAAGAAATGTATTGGTGAATTATATTGAACTGCATCCATCTATTCTTTCAACAATGCCTTACTATACATCATGGAATTGAGTCAAATATAAAAACCTGTTTTTTTAGCATTAACTGGGAATTTGATATTTTGACTTATGATTCTGTTTCATATCTGCTAAGTAGTTAAAACGCTGTTAGTTCTACTTTAAAGTGTCTGTCCTATCTACAGTTGAAGTCGGAAGTTTACATACACCTTAGCCAAATACATTTAAACTCAGTTTTTCACAATTCCTGACATTTAATCCTAGTAAAAATTCCCTGTCTTAGGTCAGGTAGGATCACCACTTTATTTTAAGAATGTGAAATGTCATAATAATAGTGTAGAGTGATTTATGTCAGCTTTTATTTCTTTCATCACATTCCCAGTGGGTCAGAAGTTTACATACACTCAATTAGTATTTGGTAGCATTGCCTTTAAATTGTTTAACTTGGGTCAAACGTTTTGGGTAGCCTTCCACAAGCTTCCCACAATAAGTTGGCTGAATTTTGGCCCATTCCTCCTGCCAGAGCTGGTGTAACTGAGTCAGGTTTGTAGGCCTCCTTGCTCGCACATGCCTTTTCAGTTCTGCCCACACATTTTCTATAGGACTGAGGTCAGGGCTTTGTGATGGCCACTCCAATACCTTGACTTTGTTGTCCTTAAGCCATTTTGCCACAACTTTGGAAGTTTGCTTGGGGTCATTGTCCATTTGGAAGACCCATTTGAGACCAAGCTTTAACTTCCTGACTGATGTCTTGAGATGTTGCTTCAATATATCCACATAATTTTCCTTCCTCATGATGCCATCTATTTTGTGAAGCGCACGAGTCCCTCCTGCAGCAAAGCACCCCCACAGCATGATGCTGCCACCCCCGTGCTTCACGGTTGGTGTTCTTCGGCTTGCAAGTTCCCCTTTTTCCTTCAAACATAACGATGGTCATTATGGCCAATCAGTTCTGTTTTTGTTTCATCAGACCAGAGGACATTTCTCCAAAAAGTACAATCTTTGTCCCCATGTGCAGTTGCAAACCGTAGTCTGGCTTTTTTATGGCGGTTTTGGAGCAGTGGCTTCTTCCTTGCTGAGTGGCCTTTCAGGTTATGTCGAAATAGGACTCGTTATACTGTGGATATAGATAATTTTGTACCTGTTTCCTCCAGCATCTTCACAAGGTCCTTTGCTGTTGTTCTGTGATTGATTTGCCTTCCACCAAAGTATGTTCATCTCTAGGAGACAGAATGCGTCTCCTTACTGAGCGGTATGACGGCTGCGTGGTCCCATGGTGTTTATACTTGCGTACTATTGTTTGTACAGATGAACATGGTACCTTCAGGCATTTGGAAATTGCTCCCAAGGATGAACCAGACTTGTGGAGGTCTACAATCTTTTTTCTGAGGTCTTGGCTGATTTTCTTTTGATTTGCCCATGAGTTTGAAGGTAGGCCTTGAAATACATCCACGGGTACACCTCCAATTGACTCAAATGATGTCAATTAGCCTATCAGAAGCTTCTAAAGCCATGACATCATTTTCTGGAATTTTCCAAGCTGTTTAAAGGCACAGTCAACTTCTGACCCACTGGAATTGTGATACAGTGAATTATAAGTGAAATAATCTTTCTGTAAACAATTGTTGGAAAAATTACTTGTCATGCACAAAGTAGATGTCCTAACCGACTTGCCAAAACTATAGTTTGTTAACAAGACATTTGTGGAGTGGTTGAAAAACAAGTTTGAATGACTCCAACCTAAGTGTATGTAAACTTCCGACTTCAACTATATATATGAGCGATATAAGAAATTTAATTTAACATTTTTGGTACTAAACTACTTCCTTATACACAGTATACAAAACATTAAGAACACCTGCTTTTTGCATGACAGACTGACCAGGTGAAAGCGATCAGGGCCTATAATTACATTTTTGGTCAACCAGCCACTGTCACAGGTAGATTAAAAAATCTACCAGCCACTCAGATTCTTTTAACAGCCAAAATATTATTTTTCGCAAAAATGACACCAACAAAACACAAAACTACTGAGCGTGCTTTGTAATGTTCCCTAAAACAATAAATGTATCACTAGTAAGAAGTAATGTGGTATATTGTTTAATTTCATTTCTTTTTTTGTGACAAGAGATGAGAGAATTCACCTGCCCCTTTAAGGGAGGTTACCATGGTAACACAACTAATCATATTCGTGCCTGTGAAATTGAGTCCGACTAGTGGCAGTGTTTTCTTCTCTTCCTTAGCAGTTGAAACTCAAACATTGAAAAACATACTTTTGGGTCATGTATGTAGACAGCTGCTCGTCGACCGTCTCATTCCAAAATAATTGGCATTAATATGGAGTTGGTCCCTCCTTTGCTGCTATAACAGCCTCCACTCTTCTGGGAAGGCTTTCCACTAGATGTTGGAACATTGCTCCGGGGTCTTGCTTCCATTCAGCCACGAGCATTAGTGAAGTCGGGCACTGATGTAGGGCGATTAGGCCAGGCTCGCAGTCGGCATTCCAATTCATCCCAAAGCCGTTTGATAGGGTTGAGGTCAGGGCTGTTGGAACATTGCTGCGGGGTCTTGCTTCCATTCAGCCACGAGCATTAGTGAGGTCGGGCACTGATGTTGGGCGATTAGGCCTGGCTCGCAGTCGGCATTCCAATTCATCCCAAAGCCGTTCGATAGAGTTGAGGTCAGGGCTCTGTGCAGGCCAGTCAAGTTCTTCCATAACCGATCTCGACAAACGATTTCTGTATAGACCTCGCTTTGTGCACAGGGGCACTGTCATGCTGAAACAGGAAAAGGCCTTCCCTAAACTGTTTCTTATTTATTTATTTTTCTTATTTTGGGGGGTAGATTAGCTCAATATTGCAGATTGTAACTTCCATCAATGTAATTGTCTGCATCACTTCCAATCCCCCATGTGTTTTATACATACATACATACATACATACATACATACATACATACATACATATCCTTTAAAAAAAATAAATATATATATATATATATATATATATATATTCCCCTTTATTACTGTCCAACCCCGCCACCCTTTCCCCACTTGGAGTAAACTAGTGAACAACAATGCCTAGGCCTCTACTTCCAGCACATAACCACTATCTACATTTTATGGACAGTCAATTTTACAGTAATTACATTTGGTTTGTTCTTTCTCCTGAACTTCTTCTACTCTCAACCTCTCCGATCATTTTCATGATGTCCATCCGGTTTGCTTCTATATGCCATCTTTCTGACCATGCTCCTTCACAAAAGCTCCCAACCTACAACCCATACACTTATTATGGACACAGCGTGCCTACATTATTAGTTATCTTGTTATTGTTTGTTGTTAGTTGTTATTAGTCCCATCATTCAACACCTCCCATCTATCTTTTAACACCATCCATATAGGATTTCTATTTGCCATATATATTTCAACTGTTCTGTGATGTCTTACAAAAGTTCTGAACCTTTCTATTATTGTTTCTACAGATTGTGAATTGAAAATAAACATTTTTGCTAATAGTATTATTATGTTATTGATCGATTGACTATGACTTTTCAGATCACCCAGTAGTGCTATCTGCAGGGTTAGCTCCAGGTAAATATTGCAATCCTTTAGCCATTCCTGGACCTGTGTCCAAAAACAAGCTACAAATGGACAGTACCAAAACAAATGATCTAATGATTATGTCTCTTCGCAGCAAAATCTGCAGAGCTGGGAAGATTGTATCCCCCATATAAATAACATTCTATTGGTAGCAAGAATTTTATATAATAATTTTAAATAGAAAGATTCTAAGTTTTGAATCCGGTGTCGTTTTGCGTATCAGTTCATAAACACTATGCCATGGGAAAAATCTCTATTTTGCAATCTATATTGGACGGCTGTCAATCCTTTGGTCCTTAAATGAAACTGATATACTTTTTTTTATTTATCACAGTTTTCCTTAACCAATCATGTTCTTTAATGCAAGGCCGAAAGACAAGTTCCTTACTTTCTCCCCCTTCCACTTTCCTCTTCCATTTTTGCGGTAAGGCTGCAATTATTTGGTTGTAATTTTGGGTAGAGCAGACATTTCCAGATGTTTTTGTTAGCTGCATGTGCGACAACACCAGTCCTACCGATGATATCATTTGCAAAGATTATACCTTTTTTTTAAACATTTTGTCCAAAAAATGTTTTTTGTCAATTAGTATATTTGAGTTTAACCACTATTTGTTCTGTCATTTCTGGAGGATTAAATTGAAAATGCAACCAACTGTTGCCACAAAGTTAGAAGCACAGAATCGTCTAGAATGTCATTGTATGCTGTAGCGTTATGATTTCCCTTCAATGGAACTAAGGGGCCTAGCCCGAACCATGATAAACAGCCCCAGACCATTATTCCTGTTCCACCAAACTTTACAGTTGCCACTATGCATTGGGTCAGGTAGAGTTTTCCTGGCATCCGCCAAACCCAGATTTGTCCGTTGGATTGCCAGATGATGATGAAGCGAGATTCATCACTACAGAGAACGCGTTGCCACTGCTCCAGAGTCCAATGGCGGCGAGCTTTACACGCTTGGCATTGCGCATTGTGATCTTAGGCTTGTGTGCGGCTGCTCGGCCATCGAAACCCATTTCATGAAGCTCGCGCCAAACAGTTATTGTGCTCAGTGAGTGTTCCAACAGTGGACAGACGATTTTTACGCGCTTCAGCACTCGTCAGTCCCATTCTGTGCTCTTGTGTGGCCTACCACTTCGTGGCTGAGCTCCTAGACGTTTCCACTTCACAATAACAGCACTTACATTTGACCGGGGCAGCTCTAGCAGGGCAGAAATTTGATGAACTGACTTGTTGGCAAGGTGGCATCCTATGAGTCACTGACCTTTTTTAAGTAAGGCCATTCTACTACCAATGTTTTGAGATTGCATGGCTGTGTGCTCGATTTTTATACACCAGTCAGCAACGGGTGTGGCTGAAATAGCCAAATCCACTAATTTGAAGCTTTACACATACTTTTGTATATTTAGTGTAGCTTGTGAACAAAATATTGTAAATAGCCAAGAGACACAAGGACCGTCTCACTTCAGTAAAATTTCTTTCACAAAGCTCTTCACGTGCGCAAAGCCCCCAGCCAGGCAGGGTTGCAGCGCGCGGTGGGATATGCTATAGGATTTGTAGTTCTTTGACTTTGTGCGATTTATTATCTTTTACTGCTATGAAACAAAACAGCAGAAATACTTTGAAAACAGCTACTGCAGCATTTATTTTCCTATAAATGTGATCATACTTTACTATTTTTATACACAAATGTAAGTGGAAATGCTCACGATGTGGAGCCCTGACCACCCGCCAACGTGGCTGGTGAAATGGACATCTTACCCGCCAATGCCAAAATCTACCGGCATTTGTCAGGTGGAGGGTGTTCATTTTAGGCCCTGAAAGCTATGATCCCTTATTGATGTCACTTGGTAAATCCACTTCAATCAGTGTAGATGAAGGGGAGGAGACCGGTCAAAGAAGGATTTTAAAACCTTGAGACATGGATTGTCTCAAAATACAAAAGATTTAAGAGTAGGTGCCAGGTGCACTGTTTTTGTGTGTTAACTGCAATGCAACTCAATATTAGGAAGGTGTTCCTAATATTTTGTATACTCTGTGTATACTTCCATTCATTTTCTTAACTGGTACCGGGCTACCTTCAGACGAGCGGTGTAAGGCTTGTGGGCGTCCTAGAGCAAAACAACGACATGTTCGTGAGAGGCTAATCTTTCCATTGAGTGGTCGTATTAGTTAGTAGGCCAAACTGTTCGGACCCTACAGACGTTTTAGATTTGTAGATGTATCTCGTGGTCTGACAAACACCGCTGTAGCTCAGCCAACTTCCACCGCAGATGCTGAAGGCTGCCCTTTGGCGGATGCGATGGATTGATATGCAGCCCATGCAACAACAAAAAAACTAGCAGATGCAGTGGGAGAGGGAGGAGAGGCATGAAGCAGCTAACAGTTAAGCTAGCAACCAAAAACGTTTTACAGCCTTTCTCTCCTGTTCTGGTTTTCATATTAACGTTCTTTAGTTGTCCAGAAGCCAAAGGCACAATCCTAGTCATATTAACAACCCATCCAAGATGTTGCATATTTACATTTTCTCTAAGTTTCGAATGGAGATGTTCATCTCTGTCACATGAAACGGCTTGCATCAGATGCGTCTTTTTAGAACAGTGTTTTCCCGCAAATGTTTGAAAATGATGTTTTCCATTCTCTGCTTCATTAGTGTTCAATAATATGAGCGAATAGGCTTGCTATTGTCGCATGTTTTTTAATCTCTTAATAAAAAATGTCCGTTCCTTCCATGCATAGTATTTTCTGTTGGTCATGTCATTTGACTGTTTGGAAATAATTTAACCGTTTGTTAACCGGTTAATGGGGGTTGGTTAGTCGGCAACGAAATGGACCGAAATTTGCATCCCTTGAAGGAAGTTAGAGGTAGTTTTGCGAGCCAATGCTAACTAGCGTTGGCGCAATGACTGGAAGTCCTATGGTACTGTATCTACTAGCATGCTAGCAGTTACCATAGACTTCATCATTTCGCTAACGCAAGTTAGCAATTGCACTTTCGCTAGTTAGCACTTCCTTCAAACAGCATGCAGAGACCTAAACATGGTATCCACGAGTTCATTAGACTCTGGGGAAGTAGATAAAGGGCTTCATTGCCAAAATCCCGAAGTATCTCTTTAAGACTTTGTGACATCCTGAAACTGAATTGCCTTGTTGAATTAGCTGTATACCTGATCTCAGTTTTTATCGTCAGAGCTTCAGATAAATCAATGAAATGCAACAGTTTTCAGATAGTGGGGGACTTCAATGTGTTTTCTGTAGTTTGTCTCATTTTTGTCATGAAGAAATGATAAAAAGAGCCAGACATTCTGGTTTTCCTTGTATAGGCCTAAAATAAGAGGAAAGATGCAAGGATGCTGAGTAGGCTATACATTAAGATACAGAGTTCTGTAAGATGCATCCTGTGAGTGGGGGAAAAAATAGCTCTTTGAGTCTTTTCAAAAAGTCATGACATATGATTGACTGAAAAGCCTACTCTGTAATGGTCACCATTCATAAAATGGCCTACTTAAACGTTTCAAATAAAGCCTGAACTCGAACATAGAGGTGATGATCATGACGCAGTCAGATCTACTCTGCAGCGTTGGATGACAGAGAGAGGAATGTGAGTGTCTGAGGAGTAGGCAATAAGGGGTTTATCTTCTGTGACTGTGTTTTTCCTCTCTTCCAGGCACCATGGAGGAGCTGCACAGCCTGGACCCCCGGAGACAGGAGCTGCTGGAGGCTCGCTTCATGGGCGCGGTCACTGGCACTGGGGGCAGCACCGGGGGCAGCACTGGCAGCACCAGCGGGGGAACCAAAGTGAGAGAGCTTCCCTCAACCCCCTGATCCCCATACACTCACGTCACATATTACTACAGTAACACTTGGCTGCATGTTTTCAGTTAGCCTAATTGTCTGTTAGGCTTCTTTTGTGTAACAAAAAAAGTTCAAGTCAAGTAAATAATTGTCATGGTTTCTTTTCAAAGAAGGTTCTGACAAACTTCTGTTTTGATTTCAGGGCCTGACAAACAATGAATGTTCAAATCAAAGTTTTGGAAGCCTGGGATCCTCCAGTGACAAAGAGTCAGAGGTTTGTTTATTAACAGATTGTTCCTACAGTTTTTTTGAAAAATTATAATGGAATCAATGTACACGTTTGTTTAAACAGGCTCTTGTCAGACAGTATAAGTGGTTTCCAAGGCTTTTCTGTATTTGTTTTTTTTTGTCTTTTGACATTCCATCCTTTGTTTGGATTAGACCTTTGTTTTGATTGGATGTTAGATGTGGGCTGGTTGGTGTGAGCAGGGAGATCACACAGAGAGCGAGAGGAGCTGGAACCTCTTATTATCCTCTTTGTCACTGGTGAAAATGTTAGACGCAACCTAAGATGGAGCGAGCTCTAGAGAGAATAAAAATGTGCGGAATCTTGTTGTAATTAAACTGCATTCTTGTGACGCATCATGCCACGAGCTCTCACCTCTCTGTACAAACACGGTCTGTGCCAGGGCAGCCTGATCACAAGCATCATGCTGCGTCTGCGCCTCCCTCCACGCTGTTTTCCTGTGTTTGGCAGCACAGCTCTACGCTAATGAAGGCAAAACACAAATGGCTTCCAACTTGGAGGGGCTGCAGTGTCGCAGCCTGTTTGTGTGGGGTGGTGGACTCCAACATTGCCAGGAATAAAGAAGCCTGAACCGCTGCAGTGGAGTGTGCGAATATACTAGCAACCTGACTGTGCGGGTGACGGTCTGCTCCCCTCCCTTCTGTTCAGTTCATCGACTGGTTTAATAAGTCACTGATGAAGGCCTGTGTGTGAGCATGATCGAGGGGAGAGCGGAGGAGGCAGAATAAATCCTCTCTGTCCTCCTCTTCCGCTGAGCTGCTGAATCTGCACAGATGTCAACCCCACAGATGCCCCCATAAGTCACACTCCCTAATGATTCACTGTTGACACACTCAATCAGACCAGCACCTGTCAGCAGATTCTCTGCACAAGGCTCTGTTCTGGTTCTGGGGCCTGTAAACCTTGTTTTGTAAAAATATCGCGAGGATTCCTCTGCCTGGTTGAAATGGGCTACTCTTTTTAGATTTAGTTTGGGTTTTCTCAGTTTAAGCATTTTCATGCTTGCTTGTAGGGCAGAAAGAATCCTCATATCCTCCAGCATACGTTATCTTAGTGGTCGTTAATTAATTAAACTGGTTAAGATTATTCCTTGCTTTGTTTGGAGATATCTTGTTTTTTTCATAAATTTAGCTCCTAAAGGCTGCGTTTACACAGGCAGCCCATTTCTAAACTTTCTTTCACTAATTGGTCTTTTGACCAATCACATCAGCTCTGAAAAAGACCTGTGATTGGTCAAAATATCCGAATTGGGCTGTGTGTGTATACTCGGCCATTGAGATTTGAATCAGTCAGTTAGAAAAGGCTAGTTAATCTATGTGACACAGTTTAGTTACCTGCTGTAGTCGCTTTTCCTCTATTTCTCACAGCCTGTGGCCCAAAACTGCCGACGGGCAGCAATAGATAAGCATCCTCTCCCAACTGTTGAAATTCTTGCATTACCATCTTATTAAGCTTTCAATAAAATTAATCTGTCAAAACAGGCTAATTATAAACAAGATTAGTCATGTATTTCATTACATTGAACTCATTCTCTGTACTCCTCCTACCTCTTTTATTTGCAGAGCTCAGATGTGAAAAGGGGGAGCTCTCCTGCATACTCGGTAGGTACTCCATTGTATTTGGAATACTAGGCTATGTTCCCCTTCATTTGTCAGCTGCTGGGCGGTAGGCAGCAGTGGTTGGTCAGTAGACTAGGCATTTGTGTTGCTGCTACTACAGTATATTCACTATGCTTTTGTTTTTCAAAACAGTCATTAAATCCTCATCTTGACATTTTCAAGGAATCAAAGTAACTGTACTTGTACAACCTACCAGATGATGGTGGTTATTGGTTAAACTCAGTTTCTCTTTGACAGACTCCTGAAAAGAAACACACTGAATCATCCAGAGGAAGAAAAAGGAAACCTGATACCCAGTCAGAGAGCAGCCAAGGTAACTTCCCTCAAGCCGTTTCTGTTATGCTCCGGATACATATAGTCATTGCTGTATGATGACCATGATTTATAAATGAGAGTCGATGCTAATTGTATTTTCTCTCTCACAGGGAAGTCTATCGTGCGAGGACCCAAAATTAGTGATTATTTTGATGTAAGTTACTATTTTTGGGGGTTATAAGGAACATGATTTGGGGAGCATGCTAAATGTGTTAAATTAAAATGATACTCTTAAAGTCCCTGTGTGCTGGAGCACCACTTTTTGTGTTAATCTCAGAGGTGTTCTGTTTTGGAGAATATCAATGAAGCTCCATTTCACTCAGAGGCAATCTCTTGAAATATACAGAACCAAACATAAAGGAGGCTTTCTGTGCCTCTGTTGTTGCCAAGTGGCAGCCAATGATGGCACTCACACTGGTGGGCTCTTTCTCCAGTTCCAAGGAGGGAATGGGTCCAGTCCTGTTAGAGGTCTCCCCCCAGTGATCCGCTCACCCCAGAACTCACATTCCCGCTCCGCACAGGGTTCAAGTGTAAGTTACCCCATATCAACTTCACTTAATTTATCGCTTGTTGCCATTTGAAACAGAAGAATTAAGTATCCTTGTCCGAGCCAGAACGGCCTATTTTAAACAGTCAATGTTTATAAGTAATATTGATGGTACCATTTAGATAGATATGCTAACAATTGTTGTCCCTTGTGTTTCAGATTAGGCAAAACAGCTCATCGCCTACGAGTCTGTCTTTTGGGGACCATGTGATGCATCCTATGCAGTTAGCTGTCAAATGTGTGCAGGTGAGGATTGACAATCACTATTATGCGTGTTCAGTACTTTTTGAATAACAGATTGTGTTAAAGCATGTGTTAAGAATTTGTTATATTTGTTTTCATTGCAGACTGACCTGACGGGGCTCAAGTTGGCTGCCCTCGAAAGTAACAAGAACCTGGACCTTGAGAAAAAAGAAGGAAGAATAGATGATTTGCTTAGAGTAAGAAAAGCTGGCTAATGAGCACAAACGAAACCTCAGCAGAAAGTACTTAAGTCCCTCATTGAGTTTAAGTGTCAGTGATATATTACTATGGCACAACTGAACACACAGATCAATTAAAACACAGCTCAGCGTGCTGCCAGTGGACTCAAAGTATGTATGTTATCCATGCTAGACTGACAGTCTTATTTCTGCTATAAGAGTGCTTAGAGGTCCTGGGTGTTAGAATTGTAATGATTAACCTAATGTGTGTTTCTTCTCCATAGGCAAACTGTGACCTCAGGAGACAGATAGATGAACAACAGAAATTACTTGAAAAGTACAAAGAACGCTTAAATAAATGCATCACCATGAGCAAGAAGTTGCTCATAGAAAAGGTACTTCCATTTCAAACTGGAATGTCTGAAGCCGGCATGTCTGGCTTTTGACATTGTGGCAAGTCTTTGCATTTCAGTATGAGTAATCTGGTATTGCGTATCAGTCCGTGATGTCTAACATTGTGTACTCGTTGCTTAGAGCACCCAGGAGAAGCAGGCGTGCCGGGAGAAGAGTATGCAGGACAGACTACGATTAGGCCACTTCACCACTGTGCGACATGGAGCCTCCTTCACAGAGCAGTGGACAGATGGCTTTGCCTTCCAAAACCTAGTCAAGTGAGTAACTTAGTCTCCGGGGTCAAAGATGTCTCAAGTCCACTTAACTTTCTCAACTGTGTTATGGTTGTCAAGCTACATGTATTTCTCTTTCAACCAGGTATCAGAGACATTTGTAGAATTAGTACTGAAATTTATAATTTTCTTTTTATTCTAAAGCCTTATCCAGGGTAAAACGCAAGCGTAGCAGAAATTGTATTGATTGCATATAACATCTTTATCTGCAGACAGCAAGAGTGGATAAACCAACAGAGGGAGGAAATCGAGAAGCAGAGAAAACTCCTAGCAAAGAGGAAACCCCCATCCTCCAGCAACTCCCAAGCACCAACAACAAACTCTGAGCCAAAGCAACGCAAATCCAAGGCAGTGAATGGAGCGGAGAACGATCCCTTTCTCAAGCCCAGCCTACCTCAGCTGTGAGTGCCCTTGTCCTCCCTAACTGTGGCAAAGCCTAAGCACACAAGACGCAAGATATCTATGAACATCTATGCCTGATCCTGTTGCTTTCATTTGTCATTGATTTTGTTGGTTAATTCCAAAGGTTGACTCTAGCGGAGTACCATGAGCAGGAGGAGATATACAAACTGCGACTCGGGCATCTCAAAAAGGTCAGTGTTGAGATGCCCAACCAGGCAGGTCCAGGCAACACGAGCTGACCTTTCTTTGTTTCATATGTCACATTGTTCATCAAGACAATTAAATTGGGATAAGACATCCTGACTCTGTTCCCTGATATAGAACCACTAATAGTGTGACTGCCTAGAGATTGTGTGGACATTTTTTCCAAAGCTATAGTTCATTGAATTATTAGTTGTTTTTCTAGGGAATAAGCATCAGACGGATTTCCCTAGACAGACTTTCTACCAAGTCAACCATTAATATTTAAGATGAGACTTGTCAGCCTAGGAGTAGAAGTGGGTTTTGATGAGCACCCCTTTCCTTGTAGTCAGTCCTCTGATGTTTGTGTGTGTGAATCATCATAGGAAGAAGCTGAAATCCAGGCGGAGCTGGAGCGTCTGGAGAGAGTGCGGAACCTTCACATTCGGGAACTTAAGAGAATAAATAACGAGGACAGTTCACAGTGAGTCTGATCACTGGAATGAATCTCTGTGACGTCAGGGCATACGCACAGGGGCTCCTGCTGACAGTCATAGATTGTTCAGTAAACCACTGGAGGCAGTAATGGCCATGTCATGGTCCTTTTCACAGTATGTTACAAATCATTCTGAATGTCAGTGTTCCATTCTGCCACTCGAGATAAAATTAGCCTGTTTTTTTTTATCACCGACTAGCATTTCAATAACAACGTCCAACTTCATGTCTTTATAGGGATTAGTAGTGTTTGAGTTGGTGGAAGTCCTACCATTGAGTTAGTTCGCAATGAACTAACTAGATTCTGACTTTTCTTTTTTCTCCCCCGCTAAAGATTCAAAGACCATCCGACTTTGAACGAGAGGTATCTACTCTTGCATCTTCTGGGAAGAGGAGGCTTTAGTGAAGTGTACAAGGTGAGTCGATCTGTGTTTTCATGTGTCATCAGTTGCATCTACAAGTCTTTGTTTGAATGGACCAGTCAGAACTTTTCTGTTGGTTTGTTATAGGCGTTTGACTTGATTGAGCAACGGTATGCTGCTGTGAAAATTCACCAGCTCAACAAGAACTGGAGGGAGGAGAAAAAAGAGAATTATCACAAGTATGTTCAACATTAAATAATTGCCACTTTCACCATGTTCTGTTCATCAACACTGTGAAAAGTAAGTTTTAAAAAAAGCATCGCTCTGATTTAGATCATTTTAGAAATGCAGGTCAGTTTTATGAATTACCATAACAATGGCACAGAGTTTTATTTACTTGTAATGCACTGACTTTAAGCTACTGTTATTCTAGTCCATAAGCTTAATGTCTGGGTTATCCAATCAATCAGTCATACCTCCACCTCTCTGCGCTCCTACTTTCTTGAGTCATTCCTTTGGTTGCCCATGGTAACACTGCTCACCTTGTTGCAGACACGCCTGTCGAGAGTACAGAATACACAAGCAGCTGGACCACCCCAGAATCGTCAAGCTGTATGACTACTTTTCACTGGATACAGACACGTAAGTGACCCTTCCTCATTATATTGACTACATATTCTCATGACATCCTCTCATCACTGCCTTTTACACATTGTTCCTTTATGTTGCCCTCACAGGTTTTGCACTGTTTTGGAGTACTGTGAAGGCAATGACCTGGACTTCTACTTGAAACAGCACAAGCTAATGTCGGAAAAGGAGGCCCGCTCCATCGTCATGCAGATTGTGAATGCTCTCCGTTACCTGAACGAAATCAAGCCCCCCATTATCCACTATGACCTCAAGCCAGGTGAACGCGCGCACACTGCAGGGAAATGTTGTTTACCTTTCCATCTGTAAAGAGGTCCCAAGGTTTTCTGATGCTATGTGCTCATTTGTTCTGTTCCAATTTCAAGGTAACATCCTGCTTGTGGATGGCACAGCTTGTGGGGAAATCAAAATCACAGACTTCGGTTTGTCCAAAATCATGGATGACGACAGCTACGGTGCAGATGGCATGGACCTGACATCACAAGGAGCAGGGACCTACTGGTAATAAACTGCCACCATATATGCGTAAATATGCAGTGTGCCTTCAGAAAGTATTCATACCCATTGACTTATTCCACATTTTGTTTTGTTACAGCCTGAATTAAAAATTGATTAAATGTATTATGTTTCTCACCCATCTGCACGTAATATCCCATCTGTAAATGTATCGAACATTTAAATACAGAAATACAGTGGGGGGAAAAAAGGTATTTAGTCAGCCACCAATTGTGCAAGTTCTCCCACTTAAAAAGATGAGAGGCCTGTAATTTCCATCATAGGTACACGTCAACTATGACAGACAAATTGAGAAAAAACATTCCAGAAAATCACATTGTAGGATTTTTAATGAATTTATTTGCAAATTATGGTGGAAAATAAGTATTTGGTCACCTACAAACAAGCAAGATTTCTGGCTCTCACAGACCTGTAACTTATTATTTAAGAGGCTCCTCTGTCCTCCACTCGTTACCTGTATTAATGGCACCTGTTTGAACTTGTTATCAGTATAAAAGACACCTGTCCACAACCTCAAACAGTCACACTCCAAACTTCACTATGGCCAAGACCAAAGAGCTGTCAAAGGACACCAGAAACAAAATTGTAGACCTGAACCAGGCTGGGAAGACTGAATCTGCAATAGGTAAGCAGCTTGGTTTGAAGAAATCAACTGTGGGAGCAATTATTAGGAAATGGAAGACATACAAGACCACTGATAATCTCCCTCGATCTGGGGCTCCACGCAAGATCTCACCCCGTGGGGTCAAAATGATCACAAGAACGGTGAGCAAAAATCCCAGAACCACACGGGGGGACCTAGTGAATGACCTGCAGAGAGCTGGGACCAAAGTAACAAAGCCTACCATCAGTAACACACTACGCCGCCAGGGACTCAAATCCTGCAGTGCCAGACGTGTCCCCCTGCTTAAGCCAGTACATGTCCAGGCCCGTCTGAAGTTTGCTAGAGTGCATTTGGATGATCCAGAAGAGGATTGGGAGAATGTCATATGGTCAGATGAAACCAAAATAGAACTTTTTGGTAAAAACTCAACTCGTCGTGTTTGGAGGACAAAGAATGCTGAGTTGCATCCAAAGAACACCATACCTACTGTGAAGCATGGGGGTGGAAACATCATGCTTTGGGGCTGTTTTTCTGCAAAGGGACCAGGACGACTGATCCGTGTAAAGGAAAGAATGAATGGGGCCATGTATCGTGAGATTTTGAGTGAAAACCTCCTTCCATCAGCAAGGGCATTGAAGATGAAACGTGGCTGGGTCTTTCAGCATGACAATGATCCCAAACACACCGCCCGGGCAACGAAGGAGTGGCTTCGTAAGAAGCATTTCAAGGTCCTGGAGTGGCCTAGCCAGTCTCCAGATCTCAACCCCATAGAAAATCTTTGGAGGGAGTTGAATGTCCGTGTTGCCCAGCGACAGCCCCAAAACATCACTGCTCTAGATGAGATCTGCATGGAGGAATGGGCCAAAATACCAGCAACAGTGTGTGAAAACCTTGAAGACTTACAGAAAACGTTTGACCTGTGTCATTGCCAACAAAGGGTATATAACAAAGTATTGAGAAACTTTTGTTATTGACCAAATACTTATTTTCCACCATAATTTGCAAATAAATTCATAAAAAATCCTACAATGTGATTTTCTGGATTTGTTTTCCTAATTTTGTCTGTCATAGTTGACGTGTACCTATGATGAAAATGAAAGGCCTCATCTTTTTAAGTGGGAGAACTTGCACAATTGGTGGCTGACTAAATACTTTTTTTCCCCACTGTATCTAATTTACACCCATTTGCTTTGATGTTCCAAATTGAGCTCGGGTGTATCCAATTTCCTTTGATCATCCTTGACATGTCACTACAACTTGATTGGAGTCCACCGGTGGCCAAATCAATTTAGAAAGAAACACAGTGCATGTCAGAGCAGAAACGATACCATGAAGCCCAAGGAACTGTCAGTAGTTCTCTGAGATATCTGGGGAAGGGTATAAAACAATTTCTAGAGTGTTGAAAGTTTTCTTTCACCACAGTGGTCACCATCATTGGGAAAAATACAATAAATATGGAACTACCCAGACTCTGCCTAGAGCTGGCCAGCCAACCAAACTGAGCAACCGGGCGAGGAGGACCTTGGTCACGGAGGTGACCAAAAACCCAATGACCACTCTGACAGAACTACAGAGTTCCTTGGCTGAGATGGGATAACCTGCCTGAAGGACAAGTCTCTACAGCACTTCACTAATCTGGGCTTTATGGGAGAGTGGCCAGATGTGAGAAAAAGGCACATGACAGCAAGCCTGGAGTTTGCAAAAAGGCACGTGAATGACTCCGAGCATAAGGCAAAAGATTCTGTGGTCTGATGAGACAAATGTAACTCTTTGGCCTGAATTCAAAGCGCTGTGTCTAGAGAGAACCAGGCACAGCTCATCACCCGTCTAACACCAGCCCTACCGTGACGCATTGTGGCGGCAGCATGGGGATGCTTTTCAGAAGCAGAGACTGGTAGGGATAGAGGGAATGGAGCCAATTACAGAAAAATCCTTTAAGAACCTGCTTCAGAGTGCAAACAACCTTAGATTGGGGGGCGAAGATTTGCGTTACAACAGGACAATGACTCCGAGTGGCGCAGCGGTCTAAGGCACTGCATCTCAGTGCTAGAGGCGTCACTACAGACCCTGGTTCAATTCCAGGCTGTATCACAATCCGGCCGTGATTGGGAGTCCCATATGGCGGTGCACAATTGGCCCAGCATCGTCCGGGTTTGGCCGGGGTAGGCCGTCGTTGTAAATAAGAATTTGTTCTTAACTGACTTGCCTAGTTAAATAAAGGTTAAATTAAAAAAATACAGCCAAAGCAACACTGGAATGGCTTCAGAACAAGAATGTGAAAGTCCATGAGTGGCCCATTTTGAAAATCTGTGGAAACAGTTGAAGATTGCTGTTCACCGCTGCTCCCAATTTAAATTAACAGAGATTTAGAAAATCTGCAAGGAAGAATGGGAGAAAATCCCCACATCTAGATGTACAAAGCTGATAGACATATCCAAGGTGACTCAATGCTGTAATTGCCACCAAAGGTGCTTCTACAAAGTATTGACTCAGCGGTGTGAATACTTATGTAAATGAGATTTCTGTATTTCATTTTCAATACATTTGTTAAAATGTCTAAATATGTTTTCACTTTGTCATTATGGGGTATTGTGTGTAGATGGGTGAGAGAAATATATTGAATCCATTTTGAATTCAGGCTGTAACACAACAAAATGTGGAATAAGTCAAGGGGTATGAATACTTTCGGAAGGGACTGTATCACAGAACCAGCACATGATTTGGATATTATGATGCTTGACATATGGACAGATATATCATTTTGTTTTGTGTTCTCTCAAAGGTACTTGCCTCCTGAGTGTTTTGTTGTTGGCAAAGAACCTCCAAAGATCTCCAACAAGGTGGACGTGTGGTCTGTGGGCGTCATCTTTTTCCAGTGTTTGTATGGAAGAAAAGTATGTGTTAGAGAACTGGCTTTATCGACTTATGAAATAAGTGTCGTGAAAATAAGTTAACTCGTCGCCTTATTTCTCTTTCAGCCATTTGGTCACAATCAGTCTCAGCAGGATATCCTGCAGGAGAACACAATTCTTAAAGCAACCGAAGTTCAGTTTCCTGTCAAGCCTGTTGCCAGTAATGAAGCGAAGGTCCGTGGGAGAAGTTGTGTTCTGAATGTTACCATCTGACTGCAATTGTGTCACTTCTATTTAATCTTCTTTATAATATTTTGGGATTGTTTTATGATTAATCAATTCCTGTATAAACATTGCTTTTGTTGAGACCTCTAGTGTTCATTATTGGTACATACAGACAGACATTAAAGCCCTTTTGAGATGCATTTCTGTCCAGCCATAAAAAAAAGCGTCTTGCTCCAATGTTTCATTTTAATTGGTGCTGTGTTTTGAATTATGTCTCCTTTATTCCCCAAGGCCTTTATAAGGCGCTGCTTGGCATATAGGAAGGAGGACCGGTTCGATGTTCACCAGCTGGGAAGGGATTCCTACCTGCTCCCTCACATGAGGAGGTCCAGCTCTTCAGGGAATCTGCAGCTGAGCGCTGGTGGCTCAGGACCTGCCTCCTCCAGCATCATCTCATACTGAGGGCTGGCCGTGCACTGACTGACTGGCTGCCCCACGCCTGCAGAGCCCCCTCCCCCACAGGACCAGGTGTGTAGGAGAGGAGCTGCCTGCCAACCAGCGGTGTATGGAAGGACAAGAGGTCCATTGACAATAAACCCCGCAGACTGAATGGTGTGGAATTTGGCCTTTGCCTGTACTGTGCTGGGTTTCAAATGGGTGTTTACTAAAGACTTCTTAATGAATGGATGTTTAAAAGAACATGAGTAAATTACCTTGTGAAGATTGAATAGAGCACTGCTACAGACAGTACCTTGAATATACAGTGGGGAGAACAAGTATTTGATACACTGCCGATTTTGCAGGTTTTCCTACTTACAAAGAATGTAGAGGTCTGTAATTTTTATCATAGGTACACTTCAACTGTGAGAGATGGAATCTAAAACGAAAATCCAGAAAATCACATTGTATGATTTTTAAGTAATTAATTTGCATTTTATTGCATGACATAAGTATTTGATACATCAGAAAAGCAGAACTTAATATTTGGTACAGAAACCTTCGTTTGCAATTACAGAGATCATACGTTTCCTGTAGGTCTTGACCAGGTTGTCACACACTGCAGCAGGGATTTTGGCCCACTCCTCCATACAGACCTTCTCCAGATCCTTCAGGTTTCGGGGCTGTCGCTGGGCAATACGGACTTTCAGCTCCCTCCAAAGATTTTCTATTGGGTTCAGGTCTGGAGACTGGCTAGGCCACTCCAGGACCTTGAGATGCTTCTTACGGAGCCACTCCTTAGTTGCCCTGGCTGTGTGTTTCGGGTCGTTGTCATGCTGGAAGACCCAGCCACGACCCATCTTCAATGCTCTTACTGAGGGAAGGAGGTTGTTGGCCAAGATCTTGCGATACATGGCCCCATCCATCCTCCCCTCAATACGGTGCAGTCGTCCTGTCCCATTTGCAGAAAAGCATCCCCAAAGAATGATGTTTCCACCTCCATGCTTCACGGTTGGGATGGTGTTCTTGGGGTTGTACTCATCCTTCTTCCTCCAAACACGGCGAGTGGAGTTTAGACCAAAAAGCTCTATTTTTGTCTCATCAGACCACATGACCTTCTCACATTCCTCCTCTGGGTCATCCAGATGGTCATGGCAAACTTCAGACGGGCCTGGACATGCGCTGGCTTGAGCAGGGGGACCTTGCGTGTGCTGTAGGATTTTAATCCATGACGGCGTAGTGTGTTACTAATGGTTTTCTTTGAGACTGTGGTCCCAGCTCTCTTCAGGTCATTGACCAGGTCCTGCTGTGTAGTTCTGAGCTGATCCCTCACCCTCCTCATGATCATTGATGCCCCACGAGGTGAGATCTTGCATGGAGCCCCAGACCGAGGGTGATTGACCGTCATCTTGAACTTCTTCCATTTTCTAATAATTGCGCCAACAGTTGTTGCCTTCTCACCAAGCTGCTTGCCTATTGTCCTGTAGCCCATCCCAGCCTTGTGCAGGTCTACAATTTTATCCCTGATGTCCTTACACAGCTCTCTGGTCTTGGCCATTGTGGAGAGGTTGGAGTCTGTTTGAGTGTGTGGACAGGTGTCGTTTATACAGGTAACGAGTTCAAACAGGTACAGTTAATACAGGTAATGAGTGGAGAACAGGAGGGCTTCTTAAAGAAAAACTAACAGGTCTGTAACAGCCGGAATTCTTACTGGTTGGTAGGTGATCAAATACTTATGTCATGCAATAAAATGCAAATTAATTACTTAAAAATCATACAATGTGATTTTCTGGATTTTTGTTTTAGTTTCCGTCTCTCACAGTTGAAGTGTACCTATGATAAAAATTACAGACCTCTACATGCTTTGTAAGTAGGAAAACCTGCAAAATCGGCAGTGTATCAAATACTTGTTCTCCCCACTGTATGTGACTGGACACTTGTGAGTTTGGTTTGCTGGTGGAAACCTTACAGGACCTAAGGGATACCTGGCAGCCCGCTGTTTAGAATAATTAACATGGTCCTGCCAGGGTGATTTAACTTCTAGGAGTTTCCTTAAGGAGCGGACATTCATCGTTTTTTGTAGGTCTACAATGATTTCACCATCATTTGGCCGTATGTATTATAATTTTTTTTTTTTTTTTAAAGTGTTGGGTTTTATTTTGAGTTGTACAATTAGCCATGAGAATGTAATTTTTAGCACATGTGGCATCTGTCATTTAGGCCCAGGCAGCATACTAATGTTGAATGCACAAAATAACCAAATGTAGACATATCAATGTACAAAATCCTATGCAGTAAGATTTTAAAGAATTCCTTAGAGTACATGTATATTTGCTGTACAGAAGATGATTTTCAGATTTCAAATTGCAGCTGCACCATTCTGTACAAATGTTTAAAGGCCCAGTGCAGTCAAATGTGATTTTTCCTGTGTTTTATATACATTACCACACTGAGGTTGGAATAATACTGTGAAATTGCGAGAATTATGATAATGCCCTTTTAGTGTAAGAGCTGTTTGACAAGACCGCCAGAAATGTCAGCCTGTTGTGGTGGGATGGAGTTTTGGCCTGCCTGGTTACATCACCAGGCGGTAAATTAGTTAATAGATTAATAAGAAATAGTTCCAAACCTCTGCCAATAACAGCTAGTTTTCAGTTTTCCCCTCCCCACTCAGACCATTCTGACAGTCTTATTGAAATTCTTTGTTTCAGAAATTGCTATTTTGCAAAGAAGCTGTGTTTTTGTTTTCAATTAAAATGGTAAAAAGAATCACAGTAAGGTACTTAATTGTTACCTAGAAATGACTTGATATTGAGATAAAAATGGCTGCATTGGACCTTTTAACAATTTCCCTTGTAAATGTATTTCCTGGATTGTTTTCATTGTGCTGCTTTTGATGTTGCTCTTACTTTTTAGGGCTGTATGATCCACTTTGGGTACAAATTGTACAGTTCTGTAAAAAATAATAAATGACGATGATAAATAACAGGCAATCACAGCATGCTATACAACTGACTTCTTTTGGAGACTACGGTGGGAGGAGCTCTCCTGTGTTCCATGACTTCTGTAAATTTGGATGGATGATGTTGGGCCTTTCAGTCAGTAGTCCTGACATACAGTGCATTCGGAAAGTATTCAGACCCCTCAACTTTATCCACATTTTGTTACGTTACAGCCTTATTCTAAAATTGATTAAATCGCTTTTTCCCCCTCAATCTACACAATACCCATGATGACAAAGGAAAAACACATTTTTTGAAATGTTTGCAAATTTATTTAAAATAAACAACATCACATTTACATAAGTATTCAGACCCTTTACTCAGTACTTTGTTGAAGCACCTTTGGCAGCGATTGCTGCCTCGGGTATGATGCTACAAACTTGGCACACCTGTATTTGAGGAGTTTCTCCCATTCTTCTCTGCAGATCCTCTCAAGCTCTGGCAGGTTGGATGGGGAGCGTGGCTGCACAGCTATTTTCAGGTCTCTCCAGAGATGTTCGATCGGGTTAAAGTCTGGGCTCTGGCTGGGCCACTCAAGGACATTCAGAAACTTGTCCCGAAGGCACTCCTGTGTTGTCTTGGCTGTGTGCTTAGGGTCGTTGTCCTGTTTGGAAGGTGAACCTTCGCCCCAGTCTGAGGTCCTGAGCAGGTTTTCATCAAGGATGAAGGTAGCTTAGTGGTTAAGAGCGTTGTGCCAGTAACCGAAAGGTCGCTGGTTCTAATCCCCGAGCCGACTAGGTGAAAAATCTGTCGACATGCCCTTGAGCAAGACACTTAACCCTAATTGCTCCAGTAAGTCGCTCTGGATAAGAGCGTCTGCTAAAATGTAAAATATATTTTATATATATATATTTTATCTCTGTACTTTGCTCCGTTCATCTTTCCCTCTCCTGACTAGTCTCCCAGTCCCTGCCGCTGAAAAACATCCCCACAGCATGATGCTGCCACCACCATGCTTCACCGTAGGGATGGTGCCAGGTTTCCTGCAGACGTGACGCTTGGCATTCAGGCCAAAGAGTTCAATCTTGGTTTCATCAGACCAGAGAATCTTGTTTTCTCATGGTTTGAGAGTCCTTTAGGTGAATTTTGGCAAACTCCAAGTCGGGCTGTCGTGCCTTTTACTGAGGAGTGGCTTCTGTCTGGCCACTCTACCATAAAGGCCTGACTTGGTGGAGTGCTGCAGAGAAGGTTGTCCTTCTGTAAGGTTCTCCCATCTCCACAGAGGAGCTCTGTCAGAGTGACCATCGGGTTCTTGGTCACCTCCCTGACCAAGACCCTTCTCCCCCGATTGCTCAGTTTGGCCGGACGGCCAGCTCTAGGAAGAGTTGATGGTTCCAAACTTCTTCCATTTAAGAATGATGGAGGCAATTGTGTTCTTGGGGACCTTCAATGCTGCAGACATTTTTTGGTACCCTTCCCCAGATCTGTGCCTCGACACAATCCTGTCTCGGAGCTCTACGGACAATTCCTTCAACCTCATGGCTTGGTTTTTGCTCTGACATGCACCGTCAACTGTGGGACCTTATATAGACAGGCGTGTGCCTTTCCAAATCATGTTCCAATCAATTGAATTTACAACAGGTGGACTCCCAAGTTGTAGAAACAGCTCAAGGATGATCAATGGAAACAGGATGCACCTGAGTTCAATTTCGAGTCTCATAGCAAAGGGTCTGAATACTTATGTAAATAAGGTATTTCTTATTTTTAATAAATTAGTAAACATTTCTAAACCTGTTTTTGCTTTGTCATTATGGGGTATTGTGTGTAGATTGAGGGGGAAAATCATTTTAATCAATTTTAGAATTAGGCTGTATGTAACAATGTGGAAAAAGTGAAGGGGTTTGAATACTTTCTGAATGAACTGTAAATTGCAAAGAATTAAAAGTCCAGTCTTAAATTACATATCTTGTCTGGCTACCTTTTCCCAATGAAACGGAATGAAATCTTGCACCCGATTGCTCCAAAGGAAAATAGCTGTTCTCCAAAACCTGTGCTTTTGCTCAATTTCTGATGTATTTCCTGTACTTGTAAAGATTAACCTCTGATGATTCTGCTGGAATTGTAGACGTAGCCCAGAGTGAACACCTCAACAATGTATATTTGGCTCCCTGACAATATTGGGGATCATTGAGAAGGGAAGATGGTGTTCCTTGTCGTTGGGGTCAGGACCGATGAGACCGTGCCGGAAGGGCCTGCTGACCAGACAGTGACCCAGTCTGATTATTTGCGTGTATGATTTGAGTTCCTTTCACTGCCCAATAGAGTAGGCATGCTTTAGATCTGATGCTAGCAGGAACTGGGGGCCAGTGAAGAGATGGCACCTAAGAAGGGCAAAGTTCACATGAGCAGCAGCATTCTTGATCAGCTGTTGCACCAATCTATTATGTTCCACTGACCATCTAAAAACTTGTAGCAGAAAATGCTGAAGGGCTCAATACAGTTAACAGCAGGCCTACAAAGAGTGAATCATACCAATTTCCATATAACACTGAATGGGAATAAATGTTTGAAGCTACTTGGTTTATACCAAAAAAAAAAAAAAAAGCTAATATGTTACATTTGCAATTGCATGTGAAGTTTGCGGCATAATTAACTTTTTTTTTGTAGCAAAGATTCACCAACTTGGTAATAGTGAGTGCAAAAGAATCTGCTCATGTACATTGTGGGAAAATCTCAATTGCATAGTCCTTGCGTCCTCTCTCCTCCTCAAAACCCACTGGAGAAGGTCAGTGGGGCGAGACTCTGGCTTTCTCATTTGATGGGTTTTGAGGGGAGAGAGGACACAAGGAGTATACAATTGAGATTCTCCCATAGTCACATTTCATTGTGGTCCTACACCGACACCCTGTGGTTTTCAGAAGTAAAGCACCTTCATTTTTACACCAACCAAAAACTACAGAACTGAGGCGGAAGTATGAGAAGTCAACGCAGTAGATGAGAAAAATACATCCATTTAATCAAGAAAGGGATGTTTCAATTACACACTTTCATTCATATTGTTTTAGTACAACAAAAAATAAAGACATTATTCTGCATTACAACAGGCTAAAGCGGATCTCTCACACAATAATTCTCATATTTCTGACCGCCCATCGTTCTTCTGAAGACCCTTTCTTCAGAAATTCTCCAACCTTTTCCCAGTGTGCACTTGTGTACACTCCCCATCATGGATTTAACAATGGTGGAAACTTCTCTAGCCAATGATTACACCAATCCAATGCTTGTAAATCCACAACAGGAAGTGTGAAAATATACACACTTCTGGAAAAGGGTGGATAATTGGGGACGCCGCCATAGTTCTGGAGTACAACAAGGAGTGTTTCAAGATTCTTTCTTGTTGAGTTTTAAATACAGTAGATCTTGTTGGTAAATGGTTCTTTGCTAGGAGGAGTCAGGTCACTGGTGCTTCTCTAGGTTTAGAGGAAGCTACTGGTGTAGGGAGGAGTGTTTCTGTCAATGTGTCGCTGGAGAAGGATGTTGCGTCCAGGATGAGGGTGTCTGGGAGTGTGAACTCAGATGGAGGCAGAGTTACCCCTGGGACCAAAGGCAGCTGGGAGTTGAGCATGGATAGGTTCAGGAGAGGAAGAGGGGCCAATGGAGGGAAACCTGAGGAAGACAGGTGGAAAGTTTCAGCAATACAGGAATATTACTGACAGTAGTATACAAATATCCATAAACTTACATCTTAAAAACCATCAAATAATCTTGAAAACATTGACATTACCTGCTGGTGGCATCCCTCCTGGTAACGACACAGTGCCCAAGTCTGGTAAAGTGAAATTGAAATTTGCCAGTTTGTGAAGGGGAGGTAGGCCTCCGGGTAACGACATTAGACCTGTGCAGGAAATATGAACATAATGAAATACACAAAGCCACATGCAAATAATACATGCAGCATCATATTGTCCCAAACTAGAACCGTGTCTAACACTGACCTGCTAACATGGTAGCAGGTATGACTGGAGGTACAGTGCTTAGCAGGGGGCTGACTTGGCTAGGCAACAATGGCACAGTAGGTACTCCTTGGACAAAGAGACAATCGATTGTAATAACTAATCTCTTACTTGGTGATATCAAGTCAGTAAGCAATATGCGTCTAAATGAAAAGTAGTGATACCTAGCATACCTGTTTGTAGAGCGCTCGGGACAGTGGGAGGAGCTGAGCTGACTGACAGGTCAAAGAGATTTTGTTCCAACCCAGTAGGAGCAGAAGGCACTGCAGGTTGAGGACTGACAGCAGAGAGCTGAACCTAAGGAACAAATGAAAACTGGGATCAACACCTGGGGCTGTAGAATATTCTTTTTTGGGGTACTTTTTACCCCAATTTCGTGATATCCAATTGGTAGTTACAGTCTTGTCCCATCGCTGCAAAAGGCCGAGAGCCATGCGTCCTCCGAAACACGACCCCGCCAAGCCGCACTGCTTCTTGACACACTGCTCGCTTAACCTGGAAGCCAGCCGCATCAATATGTCGGAGGAAACATCGTACAGCTGGCGACCGAAGTCGGCACAAGGAGTTGCTAGAGTGCGATGGGACAAGGACATCCCAGCCGGCCAAATCCTCCCCTAAACCAGACAGCGCTGGGCCAATGTGCGCCGCCTCATGGGTCTCCCAGTCGTGGCGAGCTGCGACATAGCCGGGATTGAACCCGGATTTGTAGTGACGCCTCTAGCACTGCCTTAGACCGCTGTGCCACTCGGGAAGCCCCAGCTGTAGAATATTCTCATTGTATACAAATTCCCTCATGTGACTGGCAGGTATTGGGAGTGAAAATTAGTAGGTCATTTAGAAAAATGTCTTACCTCTGTGAAGCCATCCTTGAGTGGGGAAACTGGTTCACTTTGAATATGTCCAGGGAAACTGATCTTCTTACCCTCTTCAAATGTCTGTGTGGGTATCCTGTGCAGGTAGCCATAGCCAATCCCACAGCCTAGGCTTTAGGGCAGAGAGAATGAGTGTGCTACGTGGTAGCCTATAGGTATATCAGCTAAATGAATTACCAAAATGTCAATGCCTTACCTGCCCTCTCCACCCCATTCAGAGTTTGGAGTGATGACCACATCCCGACAGTTGTCCGTGTCAGTGTTATACACATACAACTTAAGCCCTTTCCCTTCATGCGTTTCAATGAGGGAGAAGAGATCCTCAGGCTGTGGGGAAAAATCCAGACAAAAACCAGTCAAACACTACATCAACAGCTTAGTGTAGGGAGAACATCATTGAAATGACACTAAAGAAAGGCATCCCACACACCTCGTTCATGACAGTGTCTCCACCTATGATGTAGTCAGTGTGTGGTCTCAAACCAGCCAGGGCTGCAGGAGAATTTGGCTCCACTTCCTGAGGACAAGAAATAAAATACAGACCGATATTATAAATACAGTGCTGTGAAAAACTATTTGCCCCCTTTCTAATTTTGCATATTTTTTATACTGAACGTTATCAGATCTTCAACCAAAACCTACATATTAGATAAAGGGAACCTGAGTAAACAAATAACACAACAATTACACACTTATTTCATAAACAAAATTATGCAACACCCAATGCCCCTGTGTGAAAAAGTAATTGCCCCCTTACACTCATTAACTGGTTGTGCCATCTTAAGCTGCAATGACTGCAACCAAATGCTTCCTGTAGTTGTTGATCAGTCTCTCACATTGCTGTGGAGGAATTTTGGCCCACTCTTGCATGCAGAACTGCTTTAACTCAGCGACATTTGTTGGTTTTCAAGCATGAACTGATCGTTTCAAGTCCTACCACAACATCTCAATTGGGATTAGGTCTGGACTTTGACTAGTCCATTCCAAAACTTCAAATGTCTTGCTTTTTAGCCATTTTCATGTAGATTTGATTGTGTGTTTTGGATAATTGTCTTGCTGCATGACCCATCTGCGCTTCAGCTCACAGACGGATGGCCTGACATTCTCCTGTAGAATTCTCTGATACAGAGCAGAATTAATGGTTCCTTCTATTAAGGCAAGTCGTCCAGGTCCTGAGGCAGCAAAGCATCCCCAAACCATCACACTACCACCACCATGCTTGACCGTTGGTATGAGGAGTCTTGATCATCTAGGTGCTTCCAGGTGCTTTTTGGCAAACTTGAGTCATCTTTTTGGACGACATGGGTCCCATTATGCCGGGCGAAAACCAAACACTGCATTCCACAGTAAGAACCTCATACCAACGGTCAAGCATGGTGGTGGTAGTGTGATGGTTTGGGGATGCTTTGCTGCCTCAGGACCTGGACGACTTGCCTTAATAGAAGGAACCATGAATTCTGCTCTGTATCAGATAATTATACAGGAGAATGTCAGGCCATCCGTCTATGAGCTGAAGCTGAAGCGCAGCTGGGTCATGCAGCAAGACAATTATCCAAAACACACACTGATGTTAAGATGTTGTTGCAGGACTTGAAACAAGCAGTTCACGCTTGAAAACCCACAAATGTCACTGAGTTAAAGCAGTTCTGCATGCAAGAGTGGGCCAAAATTCCTCCACAGTGACATGACAGATCAACAACTACAGGAAGCATGTTTGGTTGGAGTCATTGCAGCTAAAGGTGGCACAACCAGTTAGAGTGTAATGTGGCAATTACTTTTTCACACAGGGGAATTGGGTGTTAATTAAATCAATAAAATAAGTATATATTTTTGATATTTGTAACCTCAGGTTCCCTTTATTTAATATAGGTTTTGGTTGAAGATCTGATAACATTCAATATCAAAAATAGAGAAAATCAGACAGGAGGCAAATACGTTTTCACTGCACTGTATATCGGGTCACTGCAAGGCTTCACATCATTACACATCAACACATTTCCAGTTTTACAATGATTCATGTCTGCAGCGCTAAACTGCAAGGCGATTCACTCACCAGAACATGCCACACATTCTCATTGGCTCCTTCAAAGCTGCAGAATCGGATGCTGATACCCAGCAGCCCCTGACCTCCCCACATGTTGCTGGGTGTGACTGTTGCCTCCCTCAGCTCAAGAGTCTTGTTGCTGTATACCAGCATCTTGATGGGTTTTTCCACATTCACCTTCAGCAAGTCTTTTAATGTGTCATCATCTTTGTTCTGCCAAAAATTAAGACGTTAGCAGATGTTAAAGTGCATCATCATCTGTAAACAAAGTTAGTCCACCTATAGGTTGTCTTGTATCCCTGGCTTTGAAAACAGTTGAGCTGCAATGGGATCTGACAGCTTCAGGATGTAGATAATTCGAGAAATGACAGTTTACCAATCTTGTGTCACTGATGGAAATAATAAAGTCAAAGAATGGTTCCAATCCTGCACGATGCCCAGGGGAATTATCTTGCACCTGCAAATTGAGACAGGAGGTTTATATGAATTCTGCTCAATTCATATTGCCTTTAAACATTCAATGACCACACTTTTACTACTAACACACAGGTGCAACGCCCTTTGCAAATGTGTTCTGAATTGAAAGGACATCCCACCCCCGTCACTGCACATTGACAGACCGGTTGCTCGAGTCAAGTGATGATCTAGCGTCATGGCTGGCTATAGGTAACTAACGTTAGCTAGCTAGCAAGTTTTCACTCGTCAGACATTGCTCTGTTTAATTGGTTAGACTACACATAGTTTGTTTTCTGAACGACAACGTGATGAATTACTCATAGGAAGCCCCTAAAATACACACTGACATGCTACAGCAACCTGAAGACCGCAACAACATTATCATCATAATTCAGTCATGACAAGCATTTCTGTGTTGTGTTCCCATTTTCAACTAGCCCAGTTACAGCTCGTGGTTTAGCATGCTAGTAAAGATACATACTCTGAGGACGTGATAACCTTCGGATCCTCCTCCAGGTATTTCAATGCTCTGTGCACCCCCCATGTCTCCTCAAACCCTGGATGTTTTTCTGGCGAATAAATCAGTGTAGCTGGCTAGCCACAGTAGCTAACATTTTCTTCCTGTTCCGGGGTGATGCTAAAGAGAGACAAGATTGCCTACATAGCCACACTTCCGGTACACTGTAAGAGAGAGTTTCTGGCATCATAAAAAATACAAAAATATACTAAAACCTTGTATCTTTCCTCTACCATTTGTGTTCAGTGTGTTTTTTGTATACTTTTCTCTCTCTAATTGACTCCCCAAACCCCGGCCTGGTCTTTTTGGTCTGTATCACAAGCGTTCCCGGAAGTCTCCCGATGTTGTACCTCGGGGTTTAAAAACTGTGCTATGCACTTATGCAATTTTGAATGCTCTTATTTTAAGGTTACTCTAAAGAAAAAACTGGTCATGTTAAGGGCATAGGAGGTTAAATGTCCCTGCATTGGCTATTTTCCATGTTTTAGAATAAGAGTGTAGCTGAAGATAGCAGTGTATGCTATGGTGTCTAGCGCATGATCGGGGAATCATCACAAACAGGCATGCCATGTGGAGCCTTATCAATCTGTCTCACATATTCCGTCATGTTCCAGGTCTTACTTTTGATGAGAAAGGAATTTCATGTTGAACAGTTGGATGATAGACGACATAAATGTAATGTGTTTTCCTCAACAAACTGTAGCAGTGCCTTTGTTCATTGGGGCGGCAACCAAACATTGTAAATTAAAACAACAACATCGTTGTTGATGCCATAGGTGCTGGGTGGTGCTGTCCAATACCAACACTGGAAGGAGCATGGCATATTGTTATCATCTCAGAGCAGGAGTGGACGAGGCTGAGGTAAGCCATAAGGAACGTGGCTTGCACAAACAGATAAACCTTATTAGTCAACAGACCCCACCAAAAATCAGCTTTTCATTTATCTGACTTTCATTTATCATCCAGCCCTTATATTTAGCCTCACAATTAATTGTTTTACCATTTTCTTTTCAGGACAGCCAGGGCTATAAATAGAACACAAAATAATTTGACATTCATGAGTTTTATTGACAAATGTCAATTTAAAAAATAAGGTCCACCAAAGCAGAAACCTGATAAAAATTGATTTATATGAAGACTGTAAGTACATAAATGATTTGCTCAGTGGGAAATTAATATCCAACTAGTCAGTGACAACTGTGTGGAGTTTGTGACAGAAACTATGTGAGCTTATTACAGTATTATACAACGGGTGGGTCTAATCCTGAATGCTGATTGGTTAAAATCACATTCCAGCCGGTGTCTATTCCACAAGTTACCACCGGCTAAATCTATGATGTTAAAATGTCTATTTACACTGTTCCATCTGACTGCGCAATCCACTGCCTCATCAGCCCAGCCAGGCAATTTATTAACTTTATCTCCACTATAGAAAGCATCTAGACATTATCTCACATTTCCTTTAGACTAACATTTCGTTTTCAACAGCGGAAATTTGTATAAACCTTGCTGTCTGTCTCTCTGACATTTGCAACATTCTTTCAATATTCAAACTCGATCTCCAGCTGTCCCATAGTAATAATGAACGTGTCGGGAGTCGGAACGAGACAGACAGGTAGGCAGCGTTTCTCAGCCAGTCGAAATCATGAGTCAGCTGGCATCATTTTTATGGATATATACAAAGAAATGTCAATTGAAAAAAAGGTCAAATGAAACAAAGTGCAGCTAGTTTGCAGTCTTTCCAGCTTCAGTTTGAAGTGATTGTGTTAGCTGTGTTGTTGGCTAGCTCCTCTGAACAACAGTGTCCTGACGAAAGAGCACATTTTCTATGCCAGGTGAAATCGTGCCTCATTAGCTCATTGTTATGGATGTATCCAAATAAATGTCACTAGAAAACAGCTTAAACAAATGCAGCTGTAGTTGGCTAGCTAGCAAGCAAGGGATAAGAACATTGCCAGCCAGTATGGCAATGGAACATCTAGAACAAATGACTGGGTCGCGTCTCTGGCAACCGAACCGATAGAACGAACGACCAGCTAGCTTGGGTAGCAACCCTAGATTTGTGTCGGGACTATATCTTGTGGAAGGATGAAATAGTATGAATAAATTCATCAAAATAACGTTTTTAATGAAAATATGTCAACTTCGTCTCGGGCCTAACAACACCTGTGCCAATATATCATCCAAACACTGGCTTCTCGGGCATTATCACTTAATTATAGACACTATGTCCTTGGATTTCCTATGATCGCCTATGTAGAATAACCCCTTACCTTTAACGACTCTTGTGTAGCTTGTGAGCGTCATTGAGCAAAACATGTTACATGTGCGTATTTTTGAGAGTCTCAGCTTTTCATAAATAACTTGTAAAGGACATTTTACTTTGTGAAGAAACAGTCTTGAAAATGTGAATCTTGTCTTTGGTGTCATAAACAATCCTTGGTTCTTGCATTGACCTCCTCCGTAGGACCATCTGGCAGAACGCCCAGAATATGTTCTTTAAGTTAAGATAGGAGACGGTGTCAGACACATGTCGGAACCAACCCTATGAACTATGCCTATGTAACGTCTCTGTAACCAATATATAAGGGAACTAACGGGACTGCCCCGTTAGAGCTCCTGATCGACATGTGTACTTGGTGCATTGAGTAGGTTGGAACCTCTCCAGCGCGCTGACAATAAAGGATGATTAATTTAATATTTACTTTGAGTGTCCCTGTGTAGGATTTCCACAACAAGCTTTTAATAGTTTGTAGCTCGGATTCTACAAATGTTTTTTGTAAAAAGACCCGGCCCTGGGCCCCTTCGGGATCCGCCCTTGTCTCACAAACACTGCTCTAGCTCAGCCCCTGTTAATCACACAGACTAATGGTGTTCAAAAGGGGTTAGTAGCCCAAATCGAGCTGGCGTCGCAGTGGGACTCATTGGGTTAATGAATACATAATTGAATAGCTCTGTGATGCAGGTCTTATCATATAAAATAAAGTTGTATGATATCATGAAATAAAGTTGTTCAGAGTTCTGTCTGGGTAGCAAATAGAACGCAAATAGTCTGGGTAGCCATTTGATTAGATGTTCAGGAGTCTTATGGCTTGGGGGTAGAAGCTGTTTAGAAGCCTCTTGGACCTAGACTTGGCTCTCCGGTACCGCTTGCCGTGCAGTAGCAGAGAGAACAGTCTATGACTAGGGTGGCTGGAGTCTTTGACCATTTTTAGGGCCTTCCTCTGACACCGCCTGTTATAGAGGTCCTGGATGGCAGGAAGCTTGGCCCCAGTGATGTACTAGGCCATACGCACTACCCTCTGTAGTGCCTTGCGGTCGGAGGCCGAGCAGTTGCCATACCAGGCGGTGATGCAACCAGTCAGGATGCTCTCAATGGTGCAGCTGTAGAACCTTTTGAGGATCTGAGGACCCATGCCAAATCTTTTCAGTCTCCTTAAGGGGAATAGGTTTTGTCGGGCCTTCTTCACAACTGTCTTGGTGTGCTTGGACCATGTTAGTTTGTTGGTGATGTGGACACCAAGGAACTTGAAGCTCTCAACCTGCTCCACTACAGCCCCGTCGATGAGAATGGGGGCGTGCTCGGTCCTCTTATTTTCCTGTAGTCCACAATCATCTCCTTTGTCTTGATCACGTTGAGGGAGAGGTTGTTAACCTGGCACCACATGGCCAGGTCTCTGACCTCCTCCCTATAGGCTGTCTCATCGTTGTCGGTGATCAAGCCTACCACTGTTGTGTCATCTGCAAACTTAATGATGGTGTTGGAGTCGTGCCTGGCCATGCAGTCATGAATGAACAGGGAGTACAGGAGGGGACTGAGCACGCACCCCTGAGGGGCCCCCGTGTTGAGGATCAGCGTGGCGGATGTGTTGTTACCTACCCTTACCACCTGGGGGTGGCCCGTCAGGAAGTCCAGGATCCAGTTGCAGAGGGAGGTGTTTAGTCCCAGAGTCCTTAGCTTAGTGATGAGCTTTGAGGGCACTATGGTGTTGAACGCTGAGCTGTAGTCAATGAATAGCATTCTCACATAGGGGTTCCTTTTGTCCAGGTGTGAAAGGGCAGTATGGAGCGCAATAGAGATTGCATCATCTGTGGATCTGTTGGGGCGGTATGCAAATTGGAGTGGGTCTAGAGTTTCTGGGATAATGGTGTTGATGTGAGCCATGATCAGCCTTTCAAAGCACTTCATGGCTACAGATGTGAGTGCTACGGGTCGGTAGTAATTTAGGCAGATTACCATAGTGTTCTTGGGCACAGGGACTATGGTGCTCTGCTTGAAACATGTTGGTATTACAGACTCACACAGGGAGAGGCTGAAAATGTCAGTGAAGACACTTGCCAGTTGGTTAGCGCATGCTCGGAGTACACGTCCTGGTAATCCGTCTGGCTCTGCGGCCTTGTGAATGTTGACCTGTTTAAAGGTCTTACTCACATCGGCTACGGAGAGTGTGTTCACACAGTCGTCCGGAACAGCTGATGCACTCATGCATGTTTCAGTGTTACTTGCTTCGAAACGAGCATAGAAGTAATTTAGCTCATCTGGTAGGCTCGTGTCACTGGGCAGCTCGCGGCTGTGCTTCCCTTTGTAGTCTGTAATAGTTTGCAAGCCCTGCCACATCCTTGAAAGCGGCAGCTCTACCCTTTAGCTCAGTGCGGATGTTGCCTGTAATCCATGGCTTCTGGTTGGGGTATGTACGGACAGTCACTGTGGGGACGACGTCATTGATGCACTTATTGACGAAGCCAGTGACTGATGTGGTGTACTCCTCAATGCCATCGGAAGAATACCGGAACATATCCCAGTCTGTGCTAGCAAAACAGTCCTGTAGCTTAGCATCTGCTTCATCTGCCCACTTCTTAATTGACCGAGTCACTGGTGCTTCCTGCTTTCGTTTTTGCTTGTAAGCAGGAGTCAGGAGGATAGAATTATGGTCAGATTTGCCAAAACGAGGGCGAGAGAGAGCTTTGTATGCGTCTCTGTGTGTGGAGTAAAGGTGGTCTAGAGTTTTTTTCCCTCTGGTTGCACATTTAACGTGCTGGTAGAAATGAGGTAAAATGGATTTAAGTTTCCCTGCATTAAAGTCCCCGGCCACTAGGAGCGCCGCCTCTGGATGAGTGTTTTCCTGTTTGCTTATGGCCGTATACAGTTCATTGAGTGCG